CTGTTGCTTCACAGAAACACAAATAGTAGTCATTTAACCTGTAATTACAACTCCAAAAGTAGTTTTTTTTTTCTTTTTTTTTCTTTTCTGAGTAACATTATATGATAGTCTCAAAAAATAATACAAGAACTTGTTTGGTACAAGTTTATCTTAACTTTTTTTTTATTTCTCACTTGATACTAAATTACTGAGAAAACATGATCCCATAATCATTTGCCTGGTTAGTTTGAGGTAGACTTTCTTGCTATTCTCTCATAAACCATTTAAGTAAGAGAAAGATTGTTAATTATTATTAATCACTGCTAGGTACTTTTAACTAGACATGTGACATGTCTGCTGATGAACACATTATAAATAAGTGCACATTTTTTGTGTTGGGTCTAATAAGTGAATAATGCTTAGCTGATTTTAATATATTTTCATGTTTGTACAACTTCCATTTTTTATCACTTTATCACTTGAGTCCTTGGATTTATTGTCAAAAACAGAGTTATTACAAGACTCATAAAGTCCTCACTGATTTTCCACATTCAAAGTAATATTTTGTCCATAGAAAGAAAAAATGGATTAAGAGCTGCAAACTGCTATTTCCCAAATAGTAATGCTGAGTACTGAATGCTATATACTATATTTTGATGGGTTTGATTTGCTAGATTTTTCTTAAGGGGAGGAAGGACCAACTACAGATGAGGCATATCTGCTGAGACAGATACCATAGCATCAATAAGGAGCCAGGAAGAGTGGTTGGGATGAACAACTGGTCAGTAGCAGGTTTAATTCTAGAAGACCAGCATAAAGAGGAATAGACAACTCAGGAGGCTGTAGTCTGGGAGTGGGCAGCCTCCGCAGAGAATGCAATGGATCAGGATAGGGAAGGTAGAGCAGAGCAGTCCTCTGGTCTCAAAGGAAGGGAGCAGATAATCCGCAAGGTACATCACAAAGGTACCTCGCCCCTGGTGCTCAGCTGGTGAGGCAGGAGCATGCATGAAGGGCCTGGAAGGAGGCAGCAGCACACCAATGGAGGCCTCCAGGGCTAGGTTTGGCTGGAGGGTAGCGCACAGGAGCAGGGAACCAAAAGGGGCCGGCTTTCATCACCTTGCTTCACTGCCATGGGGTGGAATTTCTCCCTCTGTGACTTGCAGTTCTCTTCAGAGTCACTCTGTACCCTGTATTTCTCTCCTGGGCATTTCAGTTGCTTCAGACCTCTCTGCAATAAAGCAAGACTGTTGTTAGACACCAGTGCCCATACCCTGGGTCTGAGTAAATACCTTCTGTGGTAACAGTTCAATGTCCACTGCAGTCCCCTAACCCTGCCTAGCCCCGTAGAGAGCCAGTGTCTTTCTTTGAAAGGGAAGGAAATAATAACTACAGAGCGACACCTGCTACCACCGTGGAGTTTACTGCAGTTACAGTAGCTCAGATAGTGGATGTCATTGTTCCCCAGATTGCTCCCTTGGGATCAACCAGCTCTAATGAAACAATTAGGGAAATGAAAGCGAAGCAAAAACTTCGGTAAGCCCTCGACTAAACAAACACATGCCTGTGCACGTTACCCAAGGAACATTCTTGGCCAGTGAATCCATACTCTGTTCTCTTTCTGCTTCTAGCCAAAACAGGAACCCCCCACCCACCCCCCCCAACTCACTTGATCTCTGTAGCTTCAAAGGCAGCATGCCCTTGATGTTCTTCCATGCCCTGCTCGTCCTGTTGCTGTCTGCATTCTTCCTTCTGGCATCTGGTCAGATCGGGCTGGGAACTGCTAGTTACCTTTCCATTTGTCTGAGTTCTCAGTGTCTATGAACTTGGCTTTGGGCTTCCAAAGCTCATTTCCACCAGAACCACTTCCTCTCCACTTTCTCATCTCCCACGGCTCCCACCCCACCTACTTTCAAGCTCCTGGTGCCCGTCCAACCAGATTTTACGCTTGAGTCCCATACAAATTCCTGGACCTCCTGTGTGGCCTGGGCTTCATCTGAGTCTGAGCTGTGTGCTTCGTGGCAGCCAGTCTCATGGAGCTGTTGCCAGCCACATGGTTTCTTCGGCTTGGCCCTGATATGCAAACTGAACCTATCCTTTGGTAAGGGACCAGTTCTTGCTGGTTTCCTTTTTGATGCTCCTGAACACCAGTAGCACAGACACTGAGATCGACAATTAATAAATGGGACCTCCTGAAACTGAGAAGCTTGTGTAAGGCAAAGGACACAGTCAGCAAGACAAAACGGCAGCCCACAGAATGGGAAAAGATCTTCACCAGCCCCCCATTCTGTTGTTGGACACTTGCCACTGCCAGCCATCACTAGAAACTACAGGATTTATAAGACAGAATTCTGTGCCCACTGACAGTTAATCACTCCCCCACCTCAACCCCAGTCCTTGACAGCCATCATTCTGCCTTTGTCTCATGTCTTTGATGCTCTAGACATCTCACCAACGTGGAACCATGCAGAATTTATCCTTTTGTGACTGTTTCCCTTAGCATAGTACCCTTAAGGCTCATGTA